ATATATATATATATATATATATTGAATATAATATATATTGTAGGGTTCTTGATTGCCTGACCCCGGCAACTTTCTCCCGTCCGGAAAATTGGCCATTCTAATTCTCCACTCTTCCCAGTCGGGAACATCAGACCTGATACCGTCGACTCTGGCGGTACCACTGGGTATACAGTAATAGCATTGAGAATAGTGTTGCTTTCATTTTAGGTGGGAGAAAGGCGCTTATTTAAACAACCATTAAATTTAACATTTGGTATAATTTAGCATAATTTCCAATCAGCCCTTGGCATAATTTGATTTGGATCACTGGTCACAAAGAAAGGTATAGGCCTAGCATTCAATTAAGTATTCCGGATGCATAAATAACGCTAAATGTTTTGATATTAAAGAAGATAGAGAGTATTTAATGTGATCTACCAATATTTTTATGATGGAACTGGTAGTTCGAATGGAGGAATTATTGTCTTGCTTAAACAGCTTCTTTACCACCTCCCCATGCTACAATGTAGCTTGCAACAATAGAAATCCTGATCATTTTACTTGTAAATACTTGCATAATTCTGTAAATGTTGTATTTTTAAAATGTTTATAAGTTTATTTTTTTTAAATCCAGACCCCCCATAACCCCACCCCACCCCTTTTTCATCCACACCCCGACAAAACTCTCTATAACAAAGCTTGACGAAAAACACTTCTTATGTCTACTAAATTCATTAGAACAATAGGGATGCCATAATCAGTACGTGGATGTTTCAGCTTTATAAAGGTATAACCAATCCCCCCCCCCCGGGTACCACCAATTATCTTCCTGAGGTATTGAATTAAAAATAGAAGGTTTCTGTTCCCCAAACTATTTTCAGCAAACCGTAGAAAATTTCATCGCAATATCTCAATAGGAACTGTATTGTTGCTAAGGAGTTTCTTTAACTGCTGCTGTGATTTTTCTTCAATTTCTTCAGTACTTTTAAAGCCCTTTTGCTCATAACTTTATAGGCCAGTTTATAGAGAATAATTATAATTCAAAATAGCTTAACTTTACACATAATTGTCCGATTAAGGTCATTGAGCCCTCATTATAAAGTTAATGATGTGCTCTATTCAATTATATAAAAATAAACATTTTGATAGAGTACGAGTTTACAGCCTTTTGTGATGTTTGGTCACATATTTGTATAAACAATTATTTGCAGACGGGTTGTAAAGTGATTGTATTAGGAAGGACCCCCAATAACCTGTTTGATAGATTAGAAGACATCAGGACAAGTGCTGAAGGTGTAACGAAGTAAGCTATTGACAATAATATTTTCAATGCAGAAACGTACATAGGGCATAGGCCTACTTAAACTACACACGCATACTCACATACCTCTCCACATCGCATTTGTTACATCAAGGCTGGATTACTGCAATAGTTTACTGTTTGGCTCTCCGAAATTTTTAATCTGCAAAGAATACAAAAGTGTGCAGCAAGAATCATCACTAAAACAAAGAGGCATGAGCATTATCACACCTGTCCTTAGTAACTTTCATTCAAGATGGCCGCCATAATGACCTCGGATGAGGTGGTTCCTACCAAAAATTGAATGCTATGACCATAAGAAGCATGTAAAAAAAAATTGGTGCTTTTGTCCGGAACGTCCACATCCATCTGCTAAGTTGCCGGACTACTAGGCCTGTTTAGTCTCGTGTAAACTTATATCTGAACTTCTAATCCCAGATTCTACAACAAAGAACAGATAACAAATTAATTTTAAAATAATATAATCATAAATAATATTAATAATGATGATGATAACGACGACGACAATGATTATGATGATGATGTAGATTGATACAGCTTACTAAACACTTATTTTAAAATACTTAAAAATAAAAAATTAAGCCTGGCACTCACTATGACCTATGAACTCAGGGCCACGAAAATAAAAAGGCTGAGGCTATCGGCACTGCCGCAGTGCGAAAAAAAAGCTGCTGTTTTCTATCGGCACTGCCGCAGTGCCAAAAAGCTGCAGTTTTCTATCGGCACTGCCGCAGTGCCAAAAAAGCTGCTGTTTTCTATCGGCATTGCCACAGTGCGAAAAAAGCTGCAGTGCGAAAAATGCTCCGATTTTCTATCGGCACTGCCGCAGTGCCAAAACACTGCAGTTTTCTATCGGCACTGCCACTCGAAAAGCTGCTGTTTAATTATCAAATGGATGTTTTTACCTATAGATTATGGTATCAATAATTGGTTAGGTCTAGCCTAGCCTATAATATTGTTAACATTATATTATATATGTTTTATAATTAAATTATAATTATTTCTAATTATTAAATATATACATAGCCTATATCTAGGCACATACATAAAACAAAAAATAAAACAACAAAAATTTAAAAATAAAATAATAGTAATAATAGTAATAATAATAATATAATAATAATAACAGTGCTCGAAATGAATAAACATTGTTTAAATAATGAGATGAATCAGCATATATTAAATCAACTTGCGTCTATGCAAAACCTGTTTTTTGTTTAAATAAAGTTATCTATTTTGTTCTTTTAGATTAATCTTATAAATTATAAGTTTATTTTCTATGATAATTGTATCCACATAATTCATGTTTTCAATGTTAGTATGGTTGATAAATAATACATAAAATAATAATAATAATAATAATAATAATAATGAAGGTGCTCGAATAATGCTTTAATAAAGAATTAATAATACTTCAATAATACTTCAATAGGCCTATTTGCGATGGTGTGATTAATGAGATATTTGTTGATTAATTTATAGAAATATATAATAGGTAGGCCTATACCATTAATAATGATTCAGCATATTAAATGAACTTACGTCTATAGATGTAAAATCTGGTTTTTTTTCAATAAAATGTTACCTATTTTATTCTGTTTAAAAAAATAATCTTATAAAATACAGTACATTATAAAGTTTCATTGTAAATTATATGAGAATTTAATCCACATAATTTATGTTTTCAATTATTTAAGCATTTCCACAATTCAGTGGGCCTAACGCTGAATGTAAATGTAAAACAAAACAAAAACAAAAACAAAAAACAAAAGCATCGCCAAAGTGGTTTCATGTATACTAATACTATCGCGCGATTACCGCGTATTTTTGGTAAGCAGAGCTCAGGATGGTTCACACGAACTGACGAATCCGTCGAAATGTCGTATAAATAAACTGCAATTATGTAAATAACATTACGAATATCTTAAATATCTTAATTAATATAATCTTAATTAATATTTTAAATTAGTTAATTACTAATTAATTAAAAGATTGATATAATCATTGTGAACTTATAACTACAATTTATTTAATATGTTTTAAATAATAAATACAGGAATCCTGCAACGAATTTTTCAGGTCAGAAATTGGCATCAAAAAGTAATAATTTTTCAATCGCGA